CCTGATCACTTTTACCTCTTCTATAAGCACTTTGGTCCGGGTAGTGTTTGCGAATCATACACTGAATTTTTTGCTTTTATCACCTGGCCTATGATTTAGTTTCAATCTGCATGCTATATTAAGAAAAATATATTTCTATCCTCGTAAACAGTTGCTTGCTTACGTTATTGGATAAAGTATATAAGTTTTCCATACCTTTATCTGACTATCGTACTACGGAATTTGGGATCTCTCTCATGGATGTGTTAAGCTAGTCTTTTATCCAGCTCAACATTACTTGCTTTAGAGGCCTTCTCGGTGTGGCTAGATTATAATTCTTATCGAACTCTTGAGGCAGATCTTGGGAAATAATGCCCCGAGTAGCACATATAATGGCCGTAATAGAGTGGAACGATTAAATTGGGGAGTTAATTAATGGATCTTTTGGGGCAAAGACACCATAATAGAACCCTAATTAGGTAGATTGCTGAATCAACATTTTCAACATAAATGTGGTAGTGGGGTAATGATTAAGCCTTACTAAATCCGTTCCATGCGTCACACTTGTTAAGTGAAATTAAGCAGATTAGAGCTGTGATGATCAAGCAGTTGGTACAAGACTATGGGCATGTTAATTTATCAAGACATAAGGAGAGATGCAACTGTTCAGTAGAAAGTCAAGAAATGGTTTTAACTTCTCTATTTTGATGTATAGTCTGGCAAGACTCATTGATGATGCCGGTGAAAAGTCTTGGAATAAAAATTATCATCCCTAGTACTGCAGATGACTCTGGACAAGATGTGCTCGCCTAAACCTCTCTAACAATATGACAGAGTTGGTAGAATAAAGAAAAATTAATCGCTTCCTTGATAGAAGTTGCATTTTACTTATTAATATTTTCGCTTTTAGCACATTTTTCTGCCTTAAATCGAATCTCCTTTCTCGATTTTAAAGATTCTTGTATTCATCTTTATATGTCTCTTATCTGTGCACTTCATATTTTTCTCTTTAAAGCCCTTAACCCGCAAACTAATTAGCAGCAAGCATCCCTTGATCTGAGGTAACCTCATGTTAATTTAAAGTATTTATTAAGAGATTTCCCAAAGTTCATCGATGATAACATTTGAATTATACAGCACCTATGTCCTATCGATAAAGGACTCAGTATATATGCCATAATTATGCTTGTGTACTTGTAGACTCCAAAATCTTTTACTATATTTTTAGACCGTCATCGCAGATATGAGCTCCCTCTTCTGCTCTCTGCCAAACTGGGCCTCCAGACTGGTTTGACTTTGCTCCAAGTATTTTCAGCAGTCGACTTGTCCCGCCTGGCGCATCGAATTGTCAACTTGACCTCAAACGACTACGAGTTAATTGTTCCCGATCACCTTCAATTTCTGCCTCTGGTTGATCTTCACCCACGAATATACAGTAACCACGGTTGCCTATCGCACATATCTTCTGGGTCCCTAGATCGTCTTCTTGCTGACTTTACTGGCAGGGATTTGAAGGAAGAGCTGGGACGGTTGGCCTGCTCGCCTGCCTACAGCAGTCCTAAACCGGGCAATCCCCTTGTTGTTCGCAGACTATCCAAGCCAAATTTAGTCTACACCATCGGACTTCAACGGTTGGCGCGCTTTCGCAGTCTTCGGATTAGCCCTGAAGGACTTGATGCGTCTGATGATAGCACAAATTCCGTTTTCCTGCGTGTGTTTCTATGTCGTGGTTCATCCGGTTTACCATTTTCTACTATCTGCTTACTGCCGGCTCTGGGAGAGGGGCATGTTTGCGCAGTTTGTCCTCAGATCTTAGGCTATCCACAGCCTTATGTCCACCAACTGTCTTTTCATCTAGACCGATTGTCGATATGCATGTTGACGGCCTCGGTTCATACGCCGTCTCTCAATCGAGTCAGGTCGGTATGCGCCCAATCTTCCGATTCGGATCACTTCTCATCACCCCTCTCTGACCAAATCCAGCTGGCCAGGCCCCCATTTCGCCCGCCGTTAGATGAGGTCTTTCGTTTGACGGTGTCTCGTCTCGCTTTGATTGGGCAACTAGCAAGCATTAGAGCTGCTGAAACCACCGATTGGTCTATTCCTAATTGGACCAAAAGCAAATCTGGTGAGCTACGCTTTTATAAGGACTAGCAGATCTTGGTAAATCAGGGTTCTCTTACTGAACTAATTTGATATGAACTATATTCATCCTATTTTGTTTAAGAGGATGAAGGACTTGCAGTTAAATTTTCTCACAATGATATAAGCTTTCATGGCATTACTTCATGAAAGG